TGGAGGAATATATCTCATGATTGAAGGTACTACTATACACTTTAGAATTTAAAAAAATTTTATTTTTTTATTGTATTTTTTAACTCCTTATGACTTCAAAAAACACCTCCTAAAGTATTTATAACTAATTGTAAAAAATAATAGTAAATTTTTCAAAAAATATTCAATTAATATAAAAAGTCATTGACAAATTAAGTAAATCTTTAAGGGGATGGTGGGGTCCAGCTTTTTATTACGACCAGTAGATAATACATTGGTGATAATGTATGTAACAGTGTCTGACATGAAAAAAATGGTGGGGTTTCAATTTGCAAAAGAATTTTAGGTAATTTATGGATGGCCTCTAAATTTATTTAAGTAATTTATGGTAAACTTTCCTGAGCTATAGGTTTTTTTTATTCCTTATATATGTGGCACCATAACACTACATTTGCACTAGGTTCTTCGTAATACGAAGGTCGGTGGAAATTCTGAGGTCGGTGGAAACTCAGGCTGGTGGGAACTTTTTCAACCGGCTTTGGATATTTTAATTTTTTGAAGAATGTATCATTAATTTTCAATCGGTTTAAAGTGGATCTCATTCGTATTGACCAAAACAATATAACTACTCTTTATTTAACCTTTTTTATAAATAATTGTTTAATTTGTGGTAAAATATTTAAGGGTCGGTGGAGATTATTTTGTGATTCCCTTATCAAATTTCCAACTTAAAATGAGTGAAAAATGAATAAATCAATTAGAACATTGGTTCTTTTTCCTGAATTAACTTAAGGAAGTTAATTTTTGTGTTTACAAAAGTAATTTTAAGTTAACATTTGATTTTCATTTAAATAATTCACTGTTTGTCAATAAAATAATGAATAGCATCCAAATTTGCTGTCAAGCATAAACTGAAAAAAAACATATATAAAATGAATTTTAAAAAAATTTTTTTTATTCAACTGTACTAAAGTAGACAATAATAAAATATCAATAGTAATTGTATTTATTATTGCATATTACTAAAATTATTAACTTTTTTCCTAAACTTCCTGTGGGGACAGGTAAAAATTTGACGTTTTCAGCCTTAAAACCGCTTATTTATGAAAAATTATAATATTAGATACAAAATTAATTATTGGTTTTTGTTTCTAAACATATAGATAACCTTTTTACGTTGGAATTGTAAAAATATATGAAAATTATTTATTATTTTTCTATTACAACATGAAAAAAACCAAGTTCTGCGCTACGCGGAAAATCACCCATATATATAAGTTTAAACGCGTTTTTCTCAAAATAACGTTTTCTCAAATTGCGGACAGTTTATCTCTGAATCTACTGAACCGATTTTAATAAATAATAACTTGTTTTGTTTGTTAGCATGTCCTGTGTGAGAATTCACCAGAAAATGGTCAAAAAATTAAAAAAAACATTTTTGCAGACTAGAAAAATACTGAAAAACCTAGTGTATTTTTAAACAAATTATTGAAACATCTGCTATTTTTTTATTTTAGTCGATTTTTCATTATTGGTGGTAGATTTCTATGCAAGACACCTTCCTTTTTAAAAAGCAATTTGGATTTTTTGTTTCCGATTTGTCAATCTTGAGATAAACTGTCCGCAATTGGACAACTAACTTTTTGGAGTTTCGATCTGAATCCTGTCTGCAGATTATGATATTAAATAAAAATTAAAAACAAACCATTATTTTTATTCTCCAAATATGTACTAATATAGGCAAAAATTTTTTTTAAATATTTATAATAAAAGACCTAAGAAATTTTTTTTTAAAATTTGGTCTTTTAAGAGCCTTCTAAAGTGTAGTAGTACCTTAAGAAAGGTAAAAATGGTAACTTTTGCCAAAAAACTTTGTCAAAAATTAAAATTTCAATTTCCTTAAAAACCCGTTATCTAATCAATATATTACCCCACTTACAGAAATTTTGCGTATTTGGATTTTAGATGCAGTCAAAAGATATCTTAACCTCCTGAAAAGCAATTTTTTGGAAAGGGGATCGAAGGACGGGCCTGATTTTTAATTTTTTTTTCGAAAATGTTATATCTTACTTATTTGATAGTGTTCTTTCAGATACCAAAGAGTTCAAATAAAAACATTTATTTATTTGAAAAAAAGTTAATAAACAAAACATACGTTTTCTGGTCGTTTCGACCCATGTAACCCCTTAAACAAATTGATATTAGAATTCTCTTTTTTTATTTATGACACCAGTTTTTTAAGGACCAAAGTCTAGAGTATTTGTAATTTAAAAATAAATATAGTTCTAAATATTAATTATTTGTAAATAAAATTAAATGCACGATGCCTTCCTACGCGTGCTTTGACACACATGCAATGAGCAGCAATATCGCAGGCACTGTGCGTGCACTATTCTAGCCATCACGTATGTATGTTGAGTGCAGTCGAAATGCATACGTTATCGCCCGCATTAAGTGCCTCGCCAAATAAGCTTTCAACTCTTTCACGACTCACTGACAATTCTAATGTAAAATATAATTACCCCCTTTTAATTGCTTATAAAAAATCGAAAATCTACAGCGACTTTATCAGAAGTAAGGATTTAGATCCCTATTTCGAATTTCTTTACGAGGACCATCAGTTTATCCCACAAGTTATTTTTGATTGGGGTACTTTACTTCAATCCTCACCAAATCCTTCGACCTCATTTTCTGTTCTTCCAAATGGAGACTTTTCTAATCACACTTTCTTTTTCACTTATGCCTCAAAAACAGATAAGGTTCATCTAGCTGGTTGCGCGATTATTTGTAAAAAATTATTAATTATTATTAATTTATTACCGTAAAAGAGGCTAATTTCGCTCAATTTTTTAATTCTTTTTTAAATAACTTCGGGAAACGATGAAAATAAACATTGGCACTAAAAATATATAATCTCTAACCCTTTCTCTTTCCTATTACTGCATAAAGAAATTAAAATATGTCGCAAAAAATTATTTATAAGCCGTTTTGTTGTGAGCGACTTTACCTTTAAATTAGGGTAAATTCGCTCACCATATTATTATTCTGGCAAAATATATTATAATCTGCAACAATAAAACTAAATATTCTTTAGAATCAATGAAGAAAAAAATTGAAAGTTACCAATGAATCTGCTCCAAAAAAATTTTAAATTAAAGTTTACCATTTATATTAACCAAAACAATTGTAAATCTTAAATATTTCTGTCTAAAAAGTATGTTAATCGAATTTTAAAAAATAGATATCTGTTGAGCGAATTTACCCTACATGAGCGAAATCAGCCTCTCTTACGGTATTATTATTAATTATTTTTTTTAATCCTTGCAATTCGAAACCAATTAAGAATACTATCAAATTTAAATTGCCCAACGACGTTGGCCTGGATCCCAGGACACAAAGGTATTGACAACAATAAAAAGGCTGATCAAACGGCTGAAGATGCATCAATTTATTCTGTAATTTTTAATTCCAAACTCCCATTTTCAATGTAAATCGTTGCTTACTCTGCCTAATGTGTAATGTGGAGGAAAATTGTATATTATAGTATGAGACTGTTTATACCGTAGAGGGTAAAGTAAGGAAGGGTAAATTAAGCTGGTACTTAAAAAGTAACGCCATTTTGTTTTAAACAAAATTGTTGTTAAAAGTATTACCGAATAACATATTGCTTGTAATGTGCAACATAACAATATTTTTGTAACATTTTCGAAGGTACCTGGTAGCATAATAATGGTACTGGATAAAATTCCCCGTGCAGAAATTGCCCTTACTGGGCCCTGACCCTTAATGAAACAGAGCGTCCAAGGGCCCCGGCCTGGTAGCTCGGCAAATCGGGCTTTGTGCCTGAGTCCCGGCTGGTTTAATTGTTTCACTAATCTTGACTCGGCCAGGGTCTTGTCAAAATTTTTACACAGGTAACTTTTACCATCAAAATCTTATCATCCATTTCTCTTAGTGCGGTGACTATTAAAATTATTTTCATCAATTTCATGTAATTCAGGAAATTTCTAATATAATATTATTTTAACTCATATGTTTAAGTAAATTTATATTTTTTCAAATTAGACAAAATTGTTTTAGAATAAAATTATTGTAAAACTCGCGGTTGATTACGTAAATTGATGAATCTTTTTAATTTTATATTAATACTAATATTTAAAATTTTAATAATAATGATTTGCAATTCGTTTTGAATTATTTGCTTGTTTAATCAAATATTTGTGTTTGATTCTAAAAAATGGTAAAAACTAGTAAGAATTAATTACTCCTAAAACTCGTTTTATTACTATTTTTTCTTATCATATTTAACGTGAATATTGTGTACTTTTATTAAAAAAGATAAGAAAAAATGCACTTGATTGTGTGTTTTTTAAATATAATGATACATAAATCCAATTGTCTGTGTGCTCGCCGCCATATTATCTGCTACTTCCGCCAAAAATGCAATTTTTATAAATTTGTTTTTCAATACTTTTTTTTTAGAAATTACTTGTAAATATGGAGAAGATTGTCTATCAGGACGCTCTCCTCTAATTAGCTTGAAAAATCTTAGCTCGATATCTCTTCTCACTTAGAAATGAGGAGACAAGCGCACAGAAAAAAATATGTGTTAAATTTGTTGCGTGTAGTTTTCAGATGGTGTTGCTTTAACACAATTTTGGTGTTATTTTAACCCCATTAAAAATGTATATTAATTTAACACCCTTTAGTGTTCCAAAATTTAAACATGTTTAACATCTTTCATTTATTTTAATTTTAAAAAAATTGTTTTAGTATTAAAATTGTTATAAAACTCTTAAAACTTTGTTTTTGTTCTTTGTTCAATTGGTTCTAAAAAAGGTATAAACTGGAAAAATTAATTACTCCTAAAACTCGTTTTATTATTATATATTTATTTTCTTATCATTTATTAAGACTACCTACTGCGTGCTTTTATTGAAATGATAAGAAAACACTCACTTGATTGTATGTTATTTAAATATTATTTAGAATAATAACCTTAAAGAACTTGTTCGTGGTCTTTCAACCTATAAAAACCTATTCTCTTCAGTATTTTTTCAACAATAGAGAATTGAATGGAAAGTATTTAGGTTTTATTCACAACAAAATGAACTTAATACTTGAGAATGTTTGTCTATTTTTAACAATTTTCCTGTTAGGAGGTAAGATTAATTAACTGTATATTAAATATTATAAATTTCCACATTTTTTATTTGGACAATATCGATGGCTCCTAAATGAAAACACATTATTCGCGAGAGAAATTATAAAAACACGTAACTCACGAAAACAAATAGAAAAAGCGTTATTCATCTGAAATATTTTTTAGGATAATTTTTTTAAATTTTGTCATTTATTAACGTATATTTTTGCAATTTGTTTACACTTTAAAAATAATACCTAAATATTAAAAATTGTAACATAGCCTTCAAAAAACTGTCATTTTAAATATAAGCATGTTTTGTATGGAAACGCTCTCGCGAATAATGTGTTTTCATTTAGGAGCCATCGATATTTTTATTGAAAATCCAAATTTATTGGTCTTACTTTTCTTCTACAGTGAAACCTGTCGGAATGCAACTCGGTTTTTAAAATTTTATTACAGTAAATAATCCTTAAAAAATTATTTTATAATTTAATTTATTAATATTTTTACATGGAGAAAAATGAGTTTGCTATTATATGGATAACTAATTTTTAGCTAATAATTAGCTTTTTAGCAAAAAAAGTTAGCTACTTTAGCTAATTATTAGCTGCATTAGCTAACAATAATTGCTATCCATATAATAGCAATTAAGGGCATCCGGGAAATAATACTGGTTTCGTGATAGACATCTCATTTAAAAAGAAAAGAATATTTTGAGTCGGGATTTTTTGGTAAATATAGAGAAATGCTCTGGGACCAGCGGTCCTCTCGGATTTTAGAGAAATTTTGATAAATAATTATTGAAAAAAATTGTTTAAATATACGGAAAAAGGGGGTTTTGAACGGTTCAGTATAGACGTCTCATTTTGAGAGGATAAAATCTTTCGGGTTCATATTTGGAGGGGTGCTAGAGGAAGACTCTCCGAGGAGCGGCCCTCTCCGTTTTTGCAATAATTTTGCGAGGAAATTATTTTATTAACGATTGAAAGTGGAGTAATTCGAGGTTAATACATTTCCCTCAGTTCAACTCGCGACCACTTCCGAGAATTGGCGCCACCTCCTTGACCACTGACACATAGATCCACTTGTCTGTGTGCTCGCCGCCATATTGTCTCTCGCTTTCGCCCAAAATCCAACTTTTGTAATTCCGTTTTTCAATATTTATTTCAAAAATTACTTGCAAATTTCGAGAATATTCTTTATCATCATGAATTCCCCTAATTATCATGATAAATCCGAACTAAATATCTCTAATTATTTAGGAGTGAGACGACACGCGGGAAAACACTTTTTGGGCTCAATTTTTCCCGGATGCCCTTAAGGTTAGCTAAGGTAGCTAAAAATTATCTGAAATAGCTAAATATTTTTCTCCGTGTACAATATTCTGGAACTATGTGAAAATAATTCTTGTTAGATATTTTTGAATACCAAAAATTTTAAAAATAGAGTTGTATTTCAGCAGTTTTGACTGTACCACTTTTTATTTTTAATTAAATTTGAAACTATAAAAATAATAAATTGAATTTGTAAATAATTTAATATTAAAGTAAAAAGAATGATTTGTTTCTAAATTTAATAAATTACTTTGATTTAAGGGGAAGTGACACCTTTGACCCGAAAAAAAATTGATTTAAATTTTTTTGCTTAAACGATACTTTATGAGGTGTAGAATAGAAATTATATCATGAGAAGTAATTTCGAAGTTATTTTATGTGAAAAAAATCGAAATCTGTTAAAGGTGTCCAAGAGCGCTTATCGAGTTCTTTTTAGCGGCATTGGCTATTTTTTATTTTATCGTAGCAGCTCAAGAATACTGTAGACAGCTTCAAATTGCTCTAAAGGGTGTAAATGAAGGAAATATTAATGTAGAAAGTCACTTATATGGTGCAGACATCGTAGATTAACAGTGGTTTCATTTTTCATGTTTTCACATTACATAAGTTTAAATGCGTTTTTCTCGAAATGACATTTTTCAAAACGGTGGGCAGTCTAGCCAGAACAGTTTTTATCGGATTGACTTTGGCCAAAGTTTTTTTGTTCGTCATTTACTAATGCTTTCGAGTACGTAGCGGATTTTTTTTGGTTTTTTTTTTGGCAATAAATATTTTGAAAAAATTTCGCTCTAAAAATCGACTTTTTTCATCAAACAGCTGCCAAATACACAAAAATTAATATTTTTAAAATATCCTACGTACTTGAAAGCTAAATCTATCACAGATTCAGAAAAACTTTGAATTTTGGTTTTTGATTAAACGGTCTAACCAGAATATTGCCCACCGATTTACCCTGCATAGAAACAAGACCAACTTCGGCGCCCTCTGTAGGCAACAAATTAAAACTTTTTTTAAGTATATATATATATATATATTTTCGTAAACTTAAAAAGTTAATAAATAAAGTCCTCGAAACCAAATTTTGTTTACTTTATTCCTGTGTCTTAAATAAATTCATGAAAAACAGGTTCAAAAGGCACCTCAAAGGTGTCACTCCCCCTTAATACAAAATAAAATTTTCTTCTTGTGAACATAAAATTTAGAGTTTGTAATGAAATAAAACCTAATTTTCGTTTAATTTTTTAATTAGTAACTTAAGAAAAGTTCTAAAACAAATTTATAATTTTTTAATTATTGTCAAAAATTTTAGGAAAATATCAATTCACATTGGCTCAAAATAGGATAGTAGGAGGAAGCGAAGCGCCAAGTATTAAGAAATTTCCTTACATGGTAAAATTAAGTTTTAATTTCAATAAATTATTAAACCATTATATTTTAAATTCCATTATATATTTTTGTCAAATAAAATTGTTTATATTGTGGCCTTGGGTCCAAAGAGTGTTTTCAGGACCTTAATTTTTGTCAAATAAAATTGTCAATATAAATATATATAATAATATAAAATATAATTATATAAAATATAATATCTCAATATAAACAATTTTATTTGACAAAAATTAAGGTCCTGAAAACACTCCACAATATAAACAATTTTATTTGACAAAAATTAAGGTCCTGAAAACACTCTACGTTATTATATATTTTTGACTAAATTGTACAATTTAATAGTTAAATAAATGTTTTATATTAGTACTAGATTTTAATAACTACTCAAAAATATTTATTTTTTGTCATGAATTTTTAGTTATACATGCAAACAGGAAGAAAATCTACCAATTTAGCCGGTCCCTGTGGTGCTTCAATTATTAGCAAAGACTGGGGATTGACAGCTGCACATTGCTTTGATAAGTGAGACTTTAATTAGTATTTTTCATTTACCATAATTAACCTTAATTTGATTTCTATTATTCTGCTTCATCTGCAATTACACTATTATCACTGATTTTTATAATCTGCCCACTGTATCTCATTAGTGAGTAACAAAATTTCTTGATACCTGTGGGTAAATTATAAAATTTCATTCGCGCGAAATTCAAATTTAATGAAGCAAAGTAAAATAAAAAAAACTGTTGAATCATTATAATTATTGATTCCTTAGATGAAAAGATTAATTTTTAACAAAAATTATTTTAATTAAGAAATGCTGAGAAAAATATGTGATTACTTGTGGCAGGAACTGAGAAAAGGGACCTTAGAAGCAAAAAAATCGATTTCCTGATTATTGAAGTTTCAGGTTAAATAAAGTAGGTATTGTCAGTATATCTCTCTTGATGGAAACAGTTTGCTTCTCTTGCTCAAACACCGATTTGCTTCTAAGGTACCTTTCTTAAGATCTGCGACACAATTATTAAACATGTAATTATCTATTTACTATATTTTAATTACAATTTTTTTTATTTTTGATGAATTAAATTTAAATTAAATTTGATTAATTAAATATATGGGGCGTTTCATATGAAATCGACATATGATGTCTCAGATTTTTCTCATATTATGAGAATTGAGAGTGATTAAGGTCCTAATGCGATAAACGAGCCTATTGGAATAGATCAACTAAATTATCTTCAATTTTTTGTGCTCTTCTTTACTACAATGTTCAAATTTTAGTATTGTTATTCCTTTGCCAACGACATTAAAAATTTTTTTGAATTTATAATAAAATCACTCGTTTGTCTTCTTGAACTTTAGGGGGCAGCATACCGGTTTTTGTTAAATTATTAAATATTTAAAATATATTAAATGTACAAATTAAATTTTTTATTGTAATATTGTAATATTTAAGAATTTTTTTCTCAAAAACAAAAAATAACGCCGAGATAAAAATTTCAGGAAAGTTTTATTATGTTATTAACAATAATCATGATATTTTTGACCTGAGAAACAGGAAGAAAGGGTTTAAATATTGAAAACAAATGTTATTGTTTAAATAAATTAACCTAAAATTTATAATTTTTATTTATAGTAACTTTTTCTGAAAGTTAAGTATTTTGAGCACAAAAAATGTTGAGAACAATTTTTTGTATCTCAAAAAAAAAAAGTTATTTTCAAAATAAAAAAATTTTGCAAAAATTTTTTAATGAAAATATCTAGAAAAACAAAAATAATTTTTCATTGTTACTTGGTATACTTCATTAGGACCCTGATCACTCTCAATTCTCATAATATAAGAAAAATCTGAGACATCATGTGTCGTTTTCATATGAAACGCCACATATTAAACATAAAATAACATTTATTTCAGTCCAGATTTGGATGAGAACAAAATATTTATAATTGGTGGGACTGCCGATATAAGTAATTCAGAATTGACTGGAATTATGCAACAAGTGTCGAAAGTGATTCGTCACGAATTGTATAAAGGAGTAGGAGCTCCTGGTATAAATATTACAGCCGATATTGCTCTTATTAAATTCACTACACCATTAACGTTCACTGAAGGTGTTAAGCCAGTTAAGTTGCCGAACAAGTGGCCAAGTCCAAAAACCAGTTTTGGTACAGTTTCAGGCTGGGGAAATATTAAAGTAAGAACCAACTTTTTTGGTACATAAGCTTAAAAATGGGAAAGGTGAGAGTGATAGAGAAAAACTAGAACTTTTATCTCACTCATATTGCCTCCATTTTGTTGCTTAGTGCTCCGCCTCTAACTAATACACCCTAAGTGTGGACAATGTGAATAAGAGAGATAGTTCCCTGTCTTCTAATTTAAATACATACAAATAAATAAAACAAAGTTTCGAAAAAATTAATTAATTTACAGCCAGGTGGACCAAGTTCTAATAAATTATTATACGTCAAATTGCCAAAAGCGAATAGGGAGAAATGCAGCAAGGAATTACTTGCTAGAACCAAAATAATTTTAAAACCAGGAGAAATGTGTTATGGCTATTTTAATGCCACAACAGTTCATGATAAATGTCAAGTAAGACAAAAATTTGAAACGTACTAAAAGTAAATTATAATTTTAATTATTTAATTATGCACTAGTAAAACATAATTTTTTCAGGGTGATTCCGGTGGTCCTCTTGTTAATGATGATGGAGTGCAACTTGGAATTGTTTCTTGGGGTATCTATTGTGGAACATCAGGAATTCCCGGTGTTTACACTGATGTTGCATATTTCCGCGATTGGATAAAACAAAAAACAGGATTATAAATTTCAAACATTTTGTATTTCTATTTTATACCCATACAGTACAAGATTTTCCCTGTGTAATCTTCTTAATCTTTCTTCGAAAGTATAAACACAGCATCCAAGAAGCTGAAAATGTCCGCCTAAAGGGAAGACTTCATTGGAATCTGAAAGGATGTTTCCACCTGAAACCCAAGGAAAACTTACAGTCGAATGTTCATTTTATTAATATTATGGAATAATGAAAATTTATTCTTTATTCCATAACAAATACTAACAATGGTTAAAACTTAGAAAAACACTTTAAAAAATCTTAAAATTTTTATAATGTACCTTCAACTGGACGAGTCTGGAAAGCTTCCCTCAATCTTTAGATGGAACCTTTCTTCAGATTCCAGTGAAAACTTATCATGCGGTGAACATTTTAAGTTTAAAGAAAAGCTTTCCTTAAACTTTCATAGAAAGATTTAAAAGATTCTCGGAAGCTTACAGGAATATCTATGTGGGTTATAATGACAATTAAAATTCTAATGGAGAAAAAGAAAATAGATTGATTGACTTTAAAAAAAACAAAAAAGAGGAAAACTAGATCCTTAGGCGCATTATTTCTCTATAGGTATTATCTTCTGTTTTTCGCAGATTGTGTTTATAAAATTACCTAATAAAAAAGAAAGATAATTACTATAGAGACACTTGATTCAAAAAGCACAAATTATTTAAACATCGCTTGCAAATGAACCTAATGAGGATTGCTCACAATCTTTTCTTATGAAAACAGTATTTTCCTACTGATTTTTATATTCTTTTTAATTATCTATCCCTATAATATAAAATCATTTCGCCGCCGCCGCCGCTGATTCAGAAATTTCTAAAGGCCCCTTATAGTAGAAAGAACATAGTCAAGGTTGGCCCACTGTCAAGGTAGGTCCATCGTCAGAAACAAGTTACATTTGACCTAAATGCAGGACAATTTTATGGGCAGTTTTAACCTATAGGTCAAAAATTGACAAACTAATCCTCTGCCCTCAATATTTAGGTCAATTTTAAGGGCAGTTTTAACCGTAGCGTTAAAAATTGACAAACAATTCTGCCCATAAAATCTATGTCAAATTTAATAGCAGTTTTTAAATTGACCTGACCTTCACTCAAAATTTAGGTGAACTTTGACATATTAGTTAACCTACACATCAAAAAAGCAAATTAATTAGGATCCTTCAAGAGGTCGTTCCTTTATATTAAAATTTGACGAAATTTTCGACCTATAAGTTAAAAGAAGTTTGACCTAAATTTTAATATTAAATCCCCCTAAATAAAAATACACAAGCTTGGAGGGGAAGAAATACTTTGAAATTTTTTTTTCGATATTAATCTAGTATTGAAGGGGGAGAAATACTTTGAAATTTTTTTGGATATTAATCTAGTGTTGGAGGGGGAGAAATACTTTGGAATTTTTTTGGATATTAATACACAAGTATTGGAAGGGTTAATCATGTTTTTGGGGGATTTAGGGGGATTCTATTTTTATATAGTCTATTACATTACGTCGAAATATTTAGGTAATTTGGCATTTTCTTTTACTTACAGGTCATAAACGGCCAAATAATGGCCCTTACATTACGTCAACATTTATGTCAGATTTAACGTGTTTTTAAAACTGCAGGTAAAAAGGGGCCCAATTTTACACTGAGAAAAAAGAATGATCAAATTTACTATGAGGAGTGTCAAACTTGAAAAAGTTGACACTATAATCATGTCCGTAAAGTAAAATTCCCTATTAGTGCTCTTTTTTAATATCTCCTGTTATAATATACTCTAACTTATTACTATGCATTCATATTAAGAGATCATGATTTGAAAAATTAAAATAAATATAAAAAATAGTTAGGGGTTGGCGCGCAGGGGGGCGAAGCCCCCCTAGTTTAATTTAAATATATTTCAGTTGCGTCTTCAAATAGATAGAGAAATTGGCTGTATAAGATGAATTTGTGATGCAATTATTGGCAAAGAATGGAGAATCATATCAACAAATTACTTTAATAAGGGAGATTATGCGTAATGAATTTCTTTTATAGATAATTAAATTTGTCACTACCTAAAGAGTCGCTGAAAATCGACTATTCCCTTTTGATGCTGCTGAATTCGAATCTGGCATCAAAAATGAAAATAATAATGACAGACATATTTTTAGGGTATAGGGTACGTCCGTAGACAATTTCGTGTCCACCCCCTAGCCGGTAAACTATTTGACCTAGAAAGATGAAATTTGTAATAATAGGGTTTATATTTGCTGGGAATTCGCTCGCCGGGGTTCCCTTAAATTATAATTAAATAATTAATTATCCATATTTAATGGCGTGAAGCGCCATCTATCGAGCTTAACTTTCTGTGATTTAGAGAAGAAGTGTAATCAATAACGAGACGAGAATTAAACCTTGGAAAGAAAAGTATATTATAATAAAATAATAGGGGAGAGTCAGTACGGTCGGGCCATTTTTTGACTTGTGCCCATAACTTCCGTTCTAGGCCGAATTTCACATTTTCTGACATATGGTTGAAAAGATTTTCTAAAGTGGAATGTTTCTTCTGTACATTTATAGCTGCTTTAAATCAATTATGACAAGTGTGAAAACCACAAGATCCAATATCAAGAAATGTAGGATCATTTGATTCTTCTTTAATGTCATCTTGTAAAAGTCTAATGAATTTGTGGTTTACGTGTGGCCCATCCATAGATATTTGCAGAATTTTCTTTAAATCCCACTCAACCAATGCTTCTTTCAATGCTTTTGAAAGGTCTTCTGCTGTTGTACTATTTAAAAAAGCTGAAATATGTGAATAATAAAACTTTTGTATGAAAAAATTAATTAAACCTATTTTAATTACTTTAAAGTTGGACATATGATGACTTAATGACAAAAATGATTTAATTAGTGCACATGAGATAATAAACTCACAAGCCTATATCCCCATGGCTGTCGAAGAACCTTGTACTCATTCAGGTAATCTGTAATCGAATCAATTTCACGACGAATTCCTTTTTTTCTTGTAGGTGTAACTCGTAATGCATGAAGACGAATAGTCGATGTTCTATCCCACCGCTCAGATGCCTCAATCACTGGTTCAATGCACCTTTTCAACCATGATAAATCCCCATTTACTTGTCGTTGATCATCTATATAACATTTAAGGAAAAATTATTAAATACAAGCTTAATAATTTTTTTAAAATTATTTTTCTAAATAAAGTTTCCATTAATATGAATTAAACAAATATTTAAATAAAAAAAGAAGATAAAATAAAACTCAGGGTGGCCACAAGTTTCAGTTTATAAATTTCCCTGAAATTCCCTGACAATTTACTGACATTAAAATTACTTTCCCTGACAAAATTCTTTTTAAAGAAAAATATGAATGTTTACGGAAAATGGGTAAAATTTATGAATTTGAATAATTTCTAAAAATTACAATTATAACCCTTCCTGAATTCAATTATTTTTTACAATTTTCAACTAAACTTCATTTCTGAATCAATTAATTTAAATAATTTCCCAAAATTTGGGGCCGTTCAAAAAATACGTAACGCTATTTTTCGGAAATTTGGACCCCCCCTCCCCCATGTAACGCAGTGTTGTATACATTAGCGCCATTTTTCTGCTGACCGTAACAAATAGCTTGACCCCTCCCTCCCCCCAAAAAGCGTTACGTATTTTTTGAACGGCCCCTTTCTTCTAGAATTCAATTATTTAAATACAAAAATTAAATTTTCTATAATAATTGTAATTATATAATTATAATAGTTTTTCAATTTGGAATAATTTCCAAACAATTAAAATTTGGTTAAATCTTTTGAAAATAATTAAAGTTTTGAAAAATATAAACAAAAATTATCAAATTTTTGAAGAATTTTAATTATAAACAGGACAAGAAAATTAGAAATTGGTTATATTGGATAAAAGACAAAATTAGAAGTTAGTTATATTGGATAGAAGGCAAAATTGGAAATTGGTTCTATTGGATAAAAATAAAGCTGGAAATTAGTTAAATTGGAAGAAAGGAAAAATTGGAAAATAATTATATTGGATAAAAACAAAGCTGGAAATTGTTTATATTGGATAAAAATAAAGCTGGCAATTGTTTAAATCGGATAAAAAAGCTGAAAATTGGTTAAATTGGATAAAAGGCAAAATTAGAAATTGATTATATTGGATAAAGGCAAAATTAGAAGTTGGTTATATTGGATAAAAGGCAAAATTAGAAATATGTTCTATTGGATAAAAACAAAGCTGGAAATTGGTTAAATTGGATAAAAGGGAAAATTGGAAATTGGTTATATTGGATAAAAACAAAGATGGAAATTGGTTAAATTGGATAAAAGTAAAAATTGTAAATTGGTTAAATATTGGATAAGAGACAAAATTGGAAATTAGTTAAATTGGATGAAAGACAAAATATTGGACATTGATTATATTTGATAGAAGGAAAAATTTGAAAGTTTTGAATAAGGAGAGAATTGTAAATTTGTTGTTATTTTCTATAAGAGGCAAAATTTGGTAACATTGGATAAAAAGAAATTATAAAATTTATAATTAAATGTATAAAACTTGATGTTAACATTCTAATGTAATTTGTTAAAAGTCAGTTTTTGTATCGTAATATAATTTTGTGTTTTGAGGTTTAGGCCAAAGAATCCAATTTTTCCATTAAAAAATTTTGAAGACAATGTTTAGTTAGTCAACATATTTATTATTAATATAATTGTCTCGACGTTTCGATGGTAGCCACCATCCTTTTCAAGAGAAAACATTGTGGTAAAGCATGTTTAATTTATTTTAGGAGTTGAGAAACAACTCCTCACCACTACAACTACAGATTTAAATAAATAAAATAAGTAAAAAATTATTATTAAAATCATAACCGTTTTTTTGATAAAGTCTCTCAGAGTGAAGTTAGCAGATAATCTAACTAATAACTCTGAGAGACTTTATCAAAAAAACGGTTATGATTTTAATCATAATTTTTTACTAATTTTATTTATTTAAATATGTAGTGGTGGTGGTGAGGAGTTGTTTCTCAACTCCTACATTAAATTAAACATGCTTTACCACAATGTTTTCTCTGAGATTTTCCCTAGCTGTAATACTACGATATGTTATTTCTGATACCCTAAGGGACTATTTAATGCAAAAAAATAAAAATCGATTTTTTTAAAATCCTAGAGTGGCATAACCCCTTAAAAGGATGGTGGCTACCATCGAAACGTCAAGACAATTATATTAATGATAAATATGTTGACTAACTAAACATTGTCTTCAAAATTGTTTAATAGAAAATTTTGGAGTCTTTGGCCTAAACCTCAAAACACAAATTCAAATGTAATATTACTATTTTTAAAATTATAATTCCTTCATATAAGTAAATTTTATAAAATAAAAGAACAATGTCTAACAAAGGAGAAACTATTAATTCAACTAATCATGATTTAAGTATTGTTGTCACTGAATTAGCGATAATAAATAATAATCATATGTCATAATTTCAAAAGCTATTGAGAAGGCAATCAATTTTTTTTATAATATGAAAAATACTTTGTGTTTACAAACAATTGATTTGATAGTTCCAATCAAGAAAAGTAAGCAGCACATTCAAATACTTTTTAGTGGATCTTATAAATCTGGTCATTGGATTTGTACTTATTATGATGAAATAAGCCTTTACAATTTTGATAGTCTTAATAAAAAATGTTTAAATCATGATCAAAGAGATTATTTAATTAGATTTTATCCTTTTGAACCACCAGTAGTTTTTACAACTGTTGATCAACAACCAGAATACAGTCTTTCTTATAGAGTATATGTGTCGTAGCCACATTGTGAAAAACCGCACTTCATGAAATGCCTAGACGTTTCATGAAGTGCAGGCACATTGTGAAAAAAATATTTACTTCACCATGTGTCCAATAT